AGGACTAGGCCTATATTCCAACATTAACCCTAAACTGTTGGTTTTTCTTCCCAATATTAATTCACAAGTAAAAAGTTTATTCTGAAGGATAATACCAAACATTATCATGAAAATTCTCACTAATTTATTTTTCTAGCATCGACATTAATACTAATAATAATAGTAATAATAATAATGATAATAAGGATGATAATAATTTCCTATCAGCTGTACAGTACCAGTGGTTCTTCTGTTGCCACCCATTGTATCAACAGAATAATGGGTTAATAGCCTAAACAATCAATTGTAATTATTGATACTTTGTCACTGTTTTCTTTGTAGAACTGTCAAGTTTTGGGATTTAGAAACATTTGAGTTGGTTAGCTCTTCATCGGGAGAATCAAGTGGAATCCGGTAAGAGAATCCTGGTGCCGTTCAACATAGCTTTTATGTGATGGATTTTTGTATTATTTTTTTTTATGGTTGATTAAATGAATGCCTATATTTGATGATTTTTATGCAGGCAAGCTGTTAATGCAAAGGGTTTTAGGGGTTAACAGTTGCCTCAGATTTGAGAAAACGCATTGTGAATAATAATGTATAGGTTTTTAATATAGCACCTTTATAAAAAATCTATGCTTGTACTACTGACAAATACCATAAATCTCAGTTTACAAGCTGTTCCTGTGCGTAAGCCATAGCTCTAATTGATACCTATGGTGGTTTTTGTTTATGTTACCTATGTACAAGCCACTATTACTTTGAACTCAAATTGGTTCCAAAATCATATTTGCTTGGGTTTTTTTTTTTAACATTGACTTTTACCCAAAATTATTAATATTCTATGTAGTGAAACACATTAATGTAAACTCTTAACAATAAGAAAAACTCAACAATGTACAGTACAACATGATTCTGGCCCAAATGCTCAAAAACAAGGCTTAGGACATACCATTGCTACACCCTGCTCAACCCAACCTGTACATATGGCTAGGCACTGTCTAGCACCTTAACTGTGACACACTTTTACAATTTTCTTTGTAGATTTCCGATGATGTTAACCGCAAAGGTTTAGCAGATAAATTTAATGGCTTTAGACACTGGGATTTGTAGTACATTTTATAAAAAATAGAATGAAGATTTCTTTTTCGTTTGTTTCAGGTCAATATGTTTCCATCCAGAGGGCAACCATATATTCACGGGCAGTCAGGATATGCTACGTGTCTATAGCTGGGAGCCAGTACAGTGTTTTGATAGTGTGTACATGGGCTGGGGCAAAGTGGCTGATATGGCAGTGTCATCACAACAGATTATTGGAGCATCATTTAACCAAACTAATGTTGCTGTCTATGTGGCTGATCTTAGTGTAAGTCAGAAAATGAAAGTTGGGGGCAGCAAACATCTGAAAACTTCTGTCTTCAATTGGTACTCTTATTATTGGAAAATTAATGGGAATTCTTGGACATTTACACAGTTTTACATGCATTGTATCATCTTCATTATAATAATAATAATAATAATAACTAATTTTATGTTTTGTTTTTTTGTGTTTTTTTTTTCTGGAGTTTTAGTAATTATGTGCTTAGTAGTTATTTTTGTTGTTTTCCTTTTTTTTGGCATAGTCAAATTATATTTATCTTCATTATCATTTAACTGTCTTCATCTTTAAATCATTTGAAATTTCATGTGGATCACATCATCATTATTTCTGTCTTTATTATCATCTTCTAATCATTATAACTAACATCTTCATCACGTTTAGATTTTTCATCAATTTCAAACAACCTGTATTGTCATCAACATTATCATCATTATTTATTATTAATATATTTTGTCATCTTTAATTTATTGAACAATTTAAAGTCATCCTTATTGTCATTGTTTTATCATGAAACTTGTCATCTTTAAATCATTAAACATTTTAAGCTGTAAGGTTTTCTTTATTCTCCTCACCTTTATTAACAACATAATCTTTACTTCACACAAATTTATTTGGATCACCTCATCTTTATTCTCATCACATCATTCTTTGTTCTCTGTCATGGACGGGCATGCATAAGTAATCTTACTATCATATTTGTAGAAAATAAACACGACGACGGGTGTGATCCAAGATGGAGGGGTTCCTGTACCAGAACCACAGCCAAACCCTTGTTCCCCTCCTCTTTCATCAAGCGGCAGGAAAAATTTTAATACAGGAAGACCACATACTAGTTCAACAAAACCAAGGTAAATAGCAAATATTATAACACAACTAAATAGATCTCAGTCATTTGATTGGTTGATTTCATACCACATGACATTTAGTTATTTTCCCTATTTCATTACTCATCATGAAAATTTAGTTCCACCATGCTTTTTTTTTCCACCCGTATTGTCCATTGCATGTTGCCTATGAATACGAAATCACTTCAACTTAATGCAATCTTTTGATTGGTTAAAAAGACACAAGGCTGACATTTTCCTTAAGGTTAAATCCATGAAATGACGTCACGTCACCTATAACCAGTACCTATAAGAATACTTCTAGCTGAGATTTTGTTTACTCAGGGAGTTGTTATAGTTTACTGTAAAGTATTTTAGTAGCGTGGATGATACCTCAAATACCAGCTTAAATTTGAGCAAGATCTGTGCGAAATTTGGCCCTTATTTTACGAAATGTGCGGAAGGATTTCTAGCCTAGGCCTATAGCATAGCCCTAGGTTTTGCGCAGTGGATAGGCCCAGGCTAGGCCGAACCGATTTGAGCAGATGGGTTTGTGAGCCAGAGGATGGCGTGAAATGTTGCTTCACGGCCAGGAAGGGCCTATAGCGACAGGCAAAACTTTTACAGTCTTGGACACTTGCTTGGTAGATGATCAAATGACAAATATCTATTTACGTATGTTATATTAAAACAAATAATGTTTTGTATTCGTGCAATGGAAAGAATATTTTCATGAGTTGAAAGATTGACCGCTCCATTCAAGTCGGCTTCACCTCGTTGAATGGAACAGTCGATCTTTCATCTCGTGAAAATATTCTTCCCATTGCACTCATAAACATTCATTATTTGTATACAGTATACAGTAGGGTTTTGAATGTAATCATACTCTGTATCAAAGTTTCCTTTCCATAAGTTCTTCCAAGACCATCAAATTTACTTTGACACAAAACTGTTGTATGCCCATATGTAGTCTTGATGTGCCTATATATGGTCATGGTGTGTTGTCATCATTACCATATTTAGGCATGATTTTTTAAAACTTGACGCATTTGAATAAGACTCAACCAATTTTATTGCTCTTCTATTTGAGAAGACGTAGAAAAACATTTACCATTCAAACAACAGCACCAAGAAAACCAAGAATACAGAGGTAAATTCTTCCGGCATGTATATTGGAGGTAATTGGTGCTATTGCTTTGGAAAATACTAGACAAATTGGGCTTGGGTTGAACATGTTGCTCCTGTTAGTTAAGAAGCTTGATTTACAAGTTCACAGTCCTTTCGTGTCCCATTCCTGTCAAGTGACAGAATTTTTTCTTAAGACCAAAAACAACTCAGCTTTCTAAGCCTCATAACAAGACCATGGAGCACAGGTGGGCAAAGTGCGGCCCGTCAGTGATTTTGTTGCGGTCCGCGAAAAATAATTAAAAACCTAAGTGTGCGCGAGCTATTTATAGCTTGAAAACACCTTATTTTTTATGGCCCGACACTGATCATCTGTAAAAAGTAATTATTAAAACTGGGAATAAAGTGGTATACAAGTAGTGCATTATGGTTTTTGCAAGCGCACAGGAAACATCAAAGTTTAGGTGGGGCGTGCCCTCGGTCTATGTTTATGCCTACCCCTGCTGTAGAGCATCATGTGTATGTATAATACTGTCATGAAAGCGATTAGAACTTGTTGACATTGATTAAATTCGCTGTTGTCAGTCTTTGACCACATACTCTATAAAGCCAGGCACTTACTGTGGCCGGCGGTTCTATGTCGAACGCCAACGTCACAACGTGCACGCAAACGAATCGTTTTTAATGAGGATCCGTTCAGACTGCCACCTGCAATAATCAAGCGTCGTCTATCACTCACGAGAAACGGAAGTTGGGTTCATCATACAATGGTTGTATGACCATCCTCCGATGCAGTGATTGCCCCGGCTTAAAGGCCAGTAAGCATCTTTATAAATATTGGTGCATAAATAAATTGTCGTCGACGTTTGAGGAAATCAACATTAAAGCTCTGCCCTAAATATACAATTTTCTTTGAAAAAGAAAAAAAACTGTTCTATGCCCATATACAGTCATGATGCGCCAATAATTATATTGTCATGATGTGATGTCATCATGACCTTATTAGGCCTACCACATGTTTTCGTCAAGTAACATTAGAGTTTGGACAGTTTTACAGTTGTACAAAGCGTATATTGTAGCAAACCTAAATGATTTGCTATTTTTTTTATTTTTTTTGCAAGTGTTTCTAAGGGATATACAGTACTGAAAGTTTGTATGGTGACATTAAAGTTTGTAAAAAAAATAGCATTTCTGTTTAAAAACTTAACTGTTGTTATTATAAGATTTGTATATGCATGAATTTTTATTAGTTTGCTATTTCATCATTTTTGATGTGCATAAACCTTGTTTATAATAGTGTACTCACAACAGCGTTGATTGATCAGAGTCCAGATTTATCAAACTAGAAATCAGCTTAAATTTGTCTTAAGTCCATTTTTCTGCTTAAATCAGATTTATCAATATTGCTTAGCTTAAAAATTGATTAAAATTAATAAGGCGATTGTACGCATGCATCATCTAAGACAATGTTTAAGCTAAGGTTTTTTGCTAAGATGGTTTTATAAATCAGCTTAAGGTATTTGCTTAGAGACATCGCAGCACCACCTATCTTCAAGCACAAAACTTAAAATCGAGTGATTTTTCTGTGGTAAAACAACGTAACTGCAGATTACGAAGCAAAACAACGTATCTACGATGTAAAAAAGTTGTTTTGCCTGGGAATGGTATTCGAAAATTGTTTTGAGCTGAAGGAGTTTGGCAAGGCAAAATAAACTGGTTAATGGTGTTTTCATAATCATTTCAATAATCTTTACAGCGACGTATTAACAAGCTATATAATGCATGTGATTGTCACAAATGTGATAAATTCCAAAAATATGTCACACTGAAAACAATACTGAGCCTGACATGTTTCTAAAGGGGAAAAAAAGTGTATCTGTGAATATCGCTAATAACTTTGCAATAAATAAACATGAAAATAGCATGGATATCAAGATCTCATCAATAGTGCACACAGTAGCTACAGTTCGGCTGGCTGACTACTGTTGCTGATTCGAGACTTTAAATGCATGAAATATGCAAATCTTTTTAATTTATTGAACCTCAAATAAATAATTAATTGTGTAAATTTGTATTTAAAATGTTTTATGTATCACTAATAATATCGTGAACAACAAACTTCCTTGTCTTATACTGCAACCAATCAAAGATATCACTTTTGTTTGGCTGAACATGTTACAAGAAGCAAAGAACCATTCTCAAGTGTTCTATTTCAACCTGACGAACGTAATGAATGTAGGCCACCCGCACTTGATTTGGTGGGGATGATGTGTGATGGTGCATCAACATGTCACTCGCAATGTAGTCAGTAAAGCTTGGTTTCCATAGAATCACTCACCCATTCGGCGACAGTCGCCGACAGTTGCCAGGAAGGTTGAACCTGGTTCAACTTCGCCGATTACGCTGTAGACGGATCAGGGGGGCATTGCTAGCTGCCCTGACTCAATCGGGAAGGCACTCAAATTCATTCACAACGCAATCGGCAAAGTTGCACCATGTTCAACCTTCCCAACTACTGTCGGAGTCTGTCACCGCGATAGGGTGAGCAATTCTTTGGAAACCGAGCTGAACGTGAGGTGGCATGAAAATGAAAGCTAATAATTAAGTAATGAAAGTAGTTAACTGTTTATTGGCTTGAGGTCTTCTTAATTCCATGTTTTCTCTTTATAGACAACAGCCAGAGATGAAGAGGTCTGAAGAAGAGTCATCACCATCACCTGAGGATCAAAAAGAAGATGAAACCTCCTCAACCGCAGATATACAAGATCAAGATAATTATGAGAAAATATTTAAACCAAATTCAACGTTATGTAAGTGTTTGTTCTATTTGTTCTATCTAATAGGTTAAATGGGGATCAACCACATTATATCATACTAGGTAGAGTACAAAAATTTATTTCCCCGATGGGGAAACTAAGGTCCATAATTGAAGCCCCTGGAAGCTTTAAAAATTGGGAATCTGAACGTGTATTTCTGAACTTTCTATTTTGTCGTCTTCAGCTCGATCTCCAACACGTAAAGCAGAACCATTCCCAGCTCCGTTAGATGAACCCTCCAAGCCTCAATCCAGTCAGCCACCATTCACCAGACGAGTTCCAGATGCCACACCAATCTCTACCAAGCCTTCAGTAGTGAAAGAAACGCCCACGGCTAAAGTTGCACCGACCCAACCGCAGCCCAGGTACATTGAAAAGCCAGTAATGTCAGAGAAAAAAATGAAGGACACAATTATACCTGCCAACAGAGAGAAACCTATTGGACTAGATGTTAATGAATTCTTACCGGTAAGTGCACAAATCAGAATTTTCATAGATATTTATTATGTATTGATTTAATAATTTTGAACATTATGATTATAAAAGGCAGGTCTCCCTCCAATTAAAGTTTTTGGAGCTTTGGTCTCTTATTAGAATAATAAAGATAAAGACATTTGTTACATCGGGACCACAGAAAAGTGGTCTTTATAGAGGGAGACCTTGTATACTGCCTTATTTTATAATTGACTTCGTAATATCGTATTGTCCTTAAACTGTAGAGTTTGTAAACTTGTCTAATATCCAGTGGGTGTAAATCGTCATGACCATATTAAAAAACAACATATTTCATTTCAAGGTTTGTAGTACAAATAAAAATTCTGTATATCATATAATCAAATGTTAGATGTATTTCAAATTTTATGGAGCATACAGTGAATCTTGTCATTAGTGTACTGTACTGTTGAATGTGTTGAAATTCAGGTTTTTACCTGTGCAAAATGCAGTTTATTTCACTTACACAGTGATATCAAATTTAACAATACTCTATAGAATATTAATAGTATTAAAAGACCATAATAAAGAAATAAAAAAATAATAAAATATATGTAGACATGTGTAATGCAAATTTTTTTGTGTGATAATCGTAGGCCAAATTGCAGGAAGACAGCAAGATAATGATGGTCTCTGCCTGACAAATGCCCTAAATCATAAGCTTTGAGGGCTGATATCTCATATATTTTCTTTAAAACAGCTGTATGTTTAAACACACATATGTGAACATGTTTAATAATGTTACTTTTTTTGTGTGATAATTGTAGGCCAAATTACAGAAAGACAGCAAGATAACATCACCAGTAGAAGCCAAGTCAGAAAGTGAGGTGATAGAATCGCTGAACAAAGGACATGATTCAATGTGTGCCGTAATGAGCAGCAGGAGCAAGAACCTGCAAGTAATCAAAGCTATATGGACCACAGGAGATACCAAGGTAGATAAATCTATATTACCATATACTGTATACTCGCATATTGAGCTGGGCACTTACTGCGCCGATGGCCGTCGGCCTGATGCGATTCATTGTAGAACGAAACACCATGACACACACACAACTGATCGTTTTTAATTGCCACCAACAAACAGCAGACGGTATCGCGTCGTCTAGCACTCACAGATAGTGGCGTTTGGCTCGTTATTTGCACATTATCGTCTAGGTGTATCTTCCCTGAACTACCTGCCCTTAAGTCTGTGGTTCTACAATGTATAACAATGAAGTAATAAACGCTAGAATTTTACCCCAGTTTTGACGATTATAGTCATCCGTAGCGCCCTCAGCAACACCTGGTTGGATGAGTATGCTCGTTGCTGGCAGCGAACGTGTTGAAGGAGATTTTACACATTTGATCAAGAGTATGTTATGTTTAAGGTCGGGTTCCAGAGGAAAACAAAATTTTGATATGCTGTATAACTGATTTTTGAATATTTAAAACTGGGAGTAAAGGTAGAAAAAAAGGGTGGTTATCGCCCCTTTCTCAAACCAGTTTTTAAATATTCAAAAATCTGTATCTCATTAAACCGCTCTCGAATTCTTCGTAAAATATGCTTTTTATGTCTTAGGAAAATCATTTGTACCAATTTTCCCTCCAGAGCCTGACAAGTTTCTACTTGATTTAAATACTTTGTTTTTTTGTATAGAAAAAGAAATACCAAGGTGACAAAAACAAACTTTGTAACTGTTTTGCTTTATTTATCTTATCAGACTGCTGTTGAATCTGCAATAAACATGAGGGACCAAGCACTTCTTGTAGATATACTCAATGTTCTATGTTTAAAAAAGTAAGCTTTTCTTTAAATCAAAATTTTTTTATTGTTCAACCTTATTTACTGAACGAGGCTTAAGTCATCCCAAAACCAGTATCCGTGACCAAAAAATGAACTTGACTTTAATATATTCTTATCCTCCACATTGTAAGCCGTAAAATGATGGGTCATTTACTGGAATTGCCAAAGGGTATGAGTAAAAGTATTACAGCTTCTCTGTACTAAATACAATACTGGCACATTCTTATGCTTAGTACTCAGTTTAACATTTTAGCGACACTACACCAGTTTTGGGATGTCAAGCCTCAAATATGTAATATTCATTTAGTATGTTTTCCACAATATTACATAAAATAACAATTGATGCAAATTAAAACTAGAGCAGGAATATGTTTCAAGGAAAATTTTCTCTGAGCTTGATCTTGAATTGTTCTTAAGCCGTTTTTTAACCCAAAATTTAATCACCATTTCCTGATACATCATACATTAAATTGTATGATGATCATTTACTAGTGTTTTTGCATAGTCCTGCTAACGGACAAGACAGATAGAGACATACAGACAGACAGACATATCGTCGCTCACATCACGACCTAACACAATCAAATTTGATTGTGTTTAATTCGTGAAATCACAAAAGCGCGTCAAAATACGCGCAGTTGTTGTTATCGACTTTTTGTGTGATAAAGAATGTGAAAGTGCCAGACAACCAGTACGCGCTCATTTTGACGCGCTACTGTGATTTCACAAACTAACACAATCTACTTAGATTGTGTTAGTTCGTGATGTGATCGACGATATCGGCGCTGTTGAATACATAACCTCCTGGCAGGGGTAGTCATGCTTAAATCAGGGGCAAGTTTTGTGACTTGGTGGTAAGGTGATACTTTGGTGGATGGATAAAGAAGCGAGAACCAGATGCCATCATTCTTACAAAAGTACAAACGGACCCTTTTCTGTAACCCCTGAAAAAGTACACTATACAATGAAGACTTCTCTCTTTTTGAGATTCTCATTTTTATCTTTTTCATAAAATACTGGGCATAGCATATTTCAGCCTGGTTAGGGAGAGGGGGTGGCAAAAATTGAGAACTGGGATTGTTGGGGGTGCAAAAGTAGAAAATGTGGAACTCAATCCCTATTCCAATGAAACTTAATGTTCATTTTTATTATTTTTAATGAACCTAATTTGCAACACCTCCTCCCCCCCCCCCCCCCTGGATCTGTCTCTTATACACATCTAGATGTGTATAAGAGACAGCTTAAAATGCATGTTTTATACTCTTGTGAAAATTATGGATGGTCCCTAAGATCTGCATGTTATTGCTAAGATTGATGTCTGATAAAGTGATGGCTAATAGAAATGATATACATAATTATAATGCGCCTTTGGAAAAATATATTTCTTCACAATGAAATACTTCTATGCAACAAATTCCATTCACTCACCAAACTGTCTACTTATATCATAAACATCTACATAAATATCTTCATAATTACAGTACAAAATATTTCAAAAAGTTACATACGCAACAAACCTTACAACAACCATATTTCCTTTAATATCGCTGTACACGACATCACACCTTTCCTAACTGTTAAGTGAACATAACAAAAAAAAAGGTCTATGATGATGCATACAACTAACTCTAACTTTAAATGTTTTTGTTTATGCTCAATACACATAACAACACTCCACACAACCTCCACCCACCGACAGCACTTAAACATTGCCAGCTATTGTCAAGTGGGCTATTGCATCATTGATGCTCTCGTTAAATGTTAGGGGTTTAAAGTAGTAAAGCTTTTTTTATTCACGAAGCACAAATCAACAAATACAATGCTGTTTTTTTATTATGGACGCAAGATGACTTATTTACAATTAAATGAACTGTTCACTGTGTGTGCAGTCATGCATGAAATTTGCAATTTTTGCATAAATACAGACCCAATTTTTAAGATGTTTTTATCAGTTGTTCTAATACTGATACTTGAAATTAAATTGCTCATTATTAATTAAAAGAAAAAAAAAATCATACAGATCTCCCTTAAATTTAAGGTCACTTTTTGGACCATAGTTTCTGTGGTCTGTAGCAGCTTCGGTTTCTAATTAAAATAATGCAGATAAAAAACATATATTAATTTGGGACCACATAAAAGTGATCTTTTATTGGAGGTAGACTTAATTTAGAGGGGTCTTTAATTAGAGGGAGACCTGTATGCCATTGCAAAGCTAATTAACTGTCTCTTATACACATCTAGATGTGTATAAGAGACAGTATTAACTTTAAATAAAGTTTTTTTCTATTTAGTACTCTACTAGTAATTGTTTTGTAGGGTTTTCTGTATTTTTAAATAGTTCAGGTATGTAGTTATGGTACCCTGCTATGTCGACTGTTCTTTGAGTCTCAAAGCCATTGTGTTTTTTATGATGTTTTTGCTGTCTTCTACTACAAAATAATAAAGATAATGATAAAAAAATGTTGGTACCTACCCACCCTTAAAATGTATAGTTCAGTACATAATTGCAAAATCTACATATTTTACCAAATCCAAAAACTGCTAGTGAACAATAATAATTATTATAATTATAATTTATAATCAAAAACCAAAGAAATTATAGATAGAAACCAAGAAAGCCTATGCAACATCCTTACCGAGGCTTTAGTCACTTAATAGGTAGTTTTCGCCGCACGACGTTAACCTTAACTTTAACGTTAGTACCCAACATGCAACGAGATAACTCCGCCCCTTTTGTAAACAAATCAAAATACGCATGCGTAAACCCGTAACTAACGTCCGTCGAGCACGTAAAATCCTGAAAATAACTCCGCATACAAGATGATTAAATTATGACGTCATCCGTTAAAGTTAATGTCGTGCAGCAAAAACTCCCTATCAAAGTGCCGAATGAACCTTTTCGTAGTGTCAATCAAACTGAACAACTGACCAATCAGAACATCGCTAGGATTGCTCACTTGTCCCTTAAACACACTTGTTGTATGTGTATGTTTGTAGAACCCTAGCAACGGTATCTAAGGGACGGGGCTTAGCTGAGAGGTCCATTGCCTACATGTGACATTGTAAGTCGGTTGGGCATTCAAACCCTTGATCTCAAGACATTACGGCAACTGTTGCATTAATTCCCCTACCATTCCCTGATTGACATCTGACAGATGATGATTGACACAGCTGACAGAAAATTAATGTATGATTGAAACTAATCTAACAGATAATTGATTGCTAATTTATATGTTTAATAATAATTTTACGTTTTTTTTTTGGCAGGTCTTTATGGACCCTAGATTTGTGTGTTCTACTTCTACCAAAAATTAAGGAAATTTTTAACAGCAAATATGAAAAGTAAGTGCAAATTATATCTTGGATAATAATGGTTATTTAATTTTCCATGTGGAAGTTATAATTCAGTAAACTAAAGTTAACTCTGTTTCTGACAATTCTGATAAAGTACAAGCAGTGAATGCTAAGTGTCATCATAAAATATAAAATATGGTTTTTTTTTTGGTTTCTTTTTAACTGCAGTTACGTTTTGACTAGTTGTACAGCAACAAAACTGATATTGAAGAGCTTTTCTGCATTAATCAAGACAAACATTAACTTACCTCCCCAAGGCATTGATATTATGAGAGAGGAGAGGTGAGTGAATTGACTAAGTGCGTCATAATATTAGTTGCTGCTGTGTAGGACTATCAACTAGAAATCATCTCTTTACTTGTAGTCTGTTCCTCTAATCCGTAAAGATCTCTTTAAGGATTTCCAGTATACTAAATGGATTACCATATTTTGTCATTTATTCTCAGATCGGTAGTTTATTAAAAAAAAAATTCGCTCTGATGTTTGTTTTGTTTAAAGTTATTTCTATCCTAAGCAAATTTCCTTTTTCTGTATCTAAACATAAATAATAATATACTAGTTAAAATATGAAAACTACAGTTAATCAGTATGTACCTACTGTTTTGAGCTGAAGTAATTTTAAAAGTATAATTTAATATTTAAAAAGTGTATATAGTTTTGAAATTTAGGGCACACAAATATATTTTCTCACAAGTTATTTAGCAAAGGGATACTGCTCTTATATTTTCTTACATGAACTTTAATTTGGCTGGTATTTAATCATTTTAAAGGTTTTTTATAGTAAAAAATCTTTGAGTATACTTTATTGTGTTTAAAGTATAATTAATATACCTGTACTAGTAAAATACTGTCTAGGTACATAAGACAAATGCTATATTAATAATATAATCAACAATGTACATGTCTTTAAAATAAGAATAATTATTTTAGGTAAACAATGCTAATTATTACAACAATATAAGGAATGACAACAGCATTTTTAAGACTAATTATAAAATTTATCCCTCTGGATTCTTTTGGGTTTACACATGTTTTTGTTATTGTTTTTGACTATATGACTTTAACTTAGCTATGCTACAGTAACCTGCAGTTTTCTTTTCACATTGATCGTCTGTCTATTAATGGAATTTTGTTTATTATGGCTGTTTATTTCTACAAACCCTAGATGCTTTATCTACCACAATTTGCATACTTTGTTGAAGTAATACCTATCTTGTGTATATTATAGAAAAAAAAATTATTGTAATATTAAAAATATTATTTAAAAAAAATGCTATTGTCATAATTAAATAATTGTCAACATAATTGCAATGAACATTGGTCATTTAACAAACAAAACCATTTTGTTTATTTTTAGATCAGCAATGCAAACATTGTTTTAATTACTCAATTAGTAGCTCTGATGCTGACAAGTTGATGAAAAACAACTAACAAAAGATTATTGAGCCTTTAAAATGCATTATTGACCTAAAATATTTTTTTTTTCAAATTTAGATACAGAAAGTTCAAAGAATGCTATGGTTATTTAATAACTCTAAGCTAACAAGTTAAAGAAAAACAACTAATATAAAAATGATTGAGTCTTTAAAATGCATTATTGACCTAAAATATTTTGTTCAAATTTAGATACAGAAAGTTCAAACAATGCTATGGTTATTTAAGAACTGTAAAGCTGACAAGTTGAAGAAAAACAACTAATAATAGGTTGTTGAGCCTTGATACACACAAAAGTCGCAAGCTAACATTTAAGGAAAATTATAATAATTAGGATTATCAACTCTGAAATTATCAGGTTTAGTATTTTAACTGTCAATCAATCAATCAATCATCTGTGAAATTTTTAACCACGTCTAAAAAACTACAAAAAAAAATGTTAAATTTTTGATAACATGGATTGTTTTTTAAGACTGGTTGCCATGGCTGCAATTTTGAACTGTTCACTGTGTGTGCAGTCATGCATGAAATTTGCAATTTTTGCATAAATACAGACCCAATTTTTAAGATGTTTTTATCAGTTGTTCTAATACTGATACTTGAAATTAAATTGCTCATTATTAATTAAAAGAAAAAAAAAATCATACAGATCTCCCTTAAATTTAAGGTCACTTTTTGGACCATAGTTTCTGTGGTCTGTAGCAGCTTCGGTTTCTAATTAAAATAATGCAGATAAAAAACATATATTAATTTGGGACCACATAAAAGTGATCTTTTATTGGAGGTAGACTTAATTTAGAGGGGTCTTAAATTAGAGGGAGACCTGTATGCCTTTGCAAAGCTAATTAATTACAGAATATATTTACATATAGAAACATTAGAGTTTTTGTCCTCGGTTGCTTGACAACACATCACATTTTTAGTGGGAGCAGTAGACCTGTCCGAGGTGTCAATCAAACTTAACTGGCCAATCAGAACAGAGCCAGGAAGATGTACGTGTCCTAAAAAGCAGAAGCGTTACCCCACAAACGCATGTGTTTGCGTATGTTTTTACACTGTTGTTTTGTGGGACCTTAGCAACAATATCCAAGGAGCGGGGCTTATTGGAAAGATCCATAGCAACAATTGCTATGGTTACTTTACTTATGAGAGCATTCCAAACAGTTGTTTACTTAGCATATATACAATTTTTTTTTTGTGACCTAATTTTTTTTTTTTTTCCGTACGTTTTTAGATACAACAAATGCAACCAATGCTACGGTTACTTAATAACTTTACGCCAACAAGTTGAGGCCAAACAGCTAACATCAGGAAAGCTTGGAAGCACGTTTAGGGAACTTAAGCTCCTGTTCACACAGCTTGATTAATGCCAGCTACTGACGTTCAGTGACATAAAAAAATCACAGGTCTGCTACTCACAGTAGGCATACAGCCAGGAAGTAGCATTATGCTTAATAGCTGTTGTCTGAAACATAGATAAAAAAAATAGGCTAGGCATAATAGGATAGACATCAAAGGAAAGTACAAGAAAGGGGTAAGATATATAGGCATGTTGTCTACCAGTGCTACATTGGTGACTATACCAGAGTATATGGCCTACTGTCACATAAACACCTGAATGCATTCATTTTCAAGTATTACATATATTACCAAAGCTTATATAAAATTGTTTTCCTTTCATCAATTTTTATGACAATTTTCATAGGGTACATTTGCACTTGCGACACATGCCAAGCTTAATTCAGGCTTGTTAGTATTGTGGCTCACTTATCCTCAGAGCAAAAAAAAAGAGGTAACTTCTGTCTGAAGGTTAATTCTGTGCCGCAAATCCTAGCTATTCCAAGAATTTGATTCTGAATACTGATTGGTCAAATGTACCGAAGATCACAGCTATACAGATCGCGTCCGATGTAAGGTCGCGTAGAGTCTCGCAAGCTTTGTTCACTCAGTTTCGAAGCAGTATCATAACCGCTTGATCCTAAAGTTGGTCGGTTTTCAGTTTGTTATGCTGTGTAAAGATGGGCACCCATTGTGGCCGACGGTTGTCAGCCAACGCGATTCTATGGAGAACGGCACAATACGCGCGTAATGGATTGTTTTTGATGATGATCTGTTCAGTCTGCCACTGACAATCAGCAGGCAGCGTCACAGGGAGCGGAGTCGGATTGGTCGGCCGACACAGTGAGCAACCAGTTTTACTTACGTCTTGTGTTGGTTTACAGGCCTGAACCACTAGCGCAAAAGTGTGGACACCAGTGTACGCGACTACACTGTCAGCCATGTGACAGCAAAAAAAATAATTCTGTTGTGGTTGTCACGCACGTAGTGTTCAGGTTTTGTTTTTTTTTCCCAGTCTACACCCTCAACGATGGAAATCAGGAGTCACACAGAATATTTTTCTTTCCGTGTTTGGAAATGGAAAACGATTCTATGCTGAGTGACATGTCGCACTGTCACATACTCCATCATATTTATTGTGAATCGACATAAAGTATAATAGTTTTCATTTTTTGGTTGCCTTCATACACCACTTACACGCTCTGTGTAAACAGACCCTATATGAACTTTACAGCCATTGCAGTGTAAGTGACATAGCAACAGAGGAAACACACATGGAAATGAAGAATGTGTTATGGCCATGAAAAAATCATCTAAAAATTCCAATGGCTTTAATGTACTGTAAAACCAAGTAAGGATAAGCTTGTAGGTACAGTAGTAGCGTTTAACACAGATATTTATGTGTGGTAGTTTTAAAATGACGACTTAGAAGTTTAAAAGGTGAACTTAATTACCTGTTAATCACATATATTATGTTCTCATTAACTAAAGGCAACTTAATGCTGTTTACATGTTGTGATAGTATGAATATTGGACTATATTAATATATATTTACATACCTGTATTATAATACTTGATAATTATTAGACTAAATGACATCTTTAAAATTGATGTAGTGAAATTCTATTCATTACTAACCAATATGGTATATTGCTATTTATTTTTCATTTTTCACTAGTTTTTTTCAAATTACATCAAGATGTATGGAGGATTTGAAGTGATGTGTGTTAATTCATAAGGTAATTCATAATTAATTTATTATCCTTTTATGTTTTCAATTGCAATAATGAGGTATCTGTATAATATTAAAATAAATCATATACGACTGACTCACAGTGTGTAAAAATGGAACATTATGGACTGTCAATCAAAGTTTACACTGACCAATCAGAACATAGCTAAAAATCCTCACTTGTCTCCCAAAGACATGTGTGGTCCAACAAACGAATCACAGTCATATGACAATATGTATTCAATATGACTTATCCCTGGTTTTTTAGACCAACAAAAAAAAAAAAAAAAACTCTTGTGTTGGCCATGTTTTGGGAAAATCCAAAAATTGGGTAGGTGGGTAGGAAAAGTTTTTTTAACCAATAATGTGTATATGCCTAAATAGTAGAAAATACACAAATACAACAAAGACTTTTTAAAAAATCTATATGGAAGAGCAAAATGATCGCATAACACTGTCGCATTGCCCACCGTTCAGCAACATAGGCCTATTTCAGCCTTTTTAGCTCATTAAATAAAATAAAATGCCGAACCTTAATTTCGTACATTTCGGGTCGGTCGGGCATGGCCAGCACAATAATTTTTTCTTTTTATTTGGCCGTGTGTACATTTATGTATGCTGCCATTTTATTGGACCTTAGCAACAATATTTAAGGGGTGGGGCTTAAATGAAAGGTTGCAGATTTTCCGTCCATTGATGTCTACACTTGTTGCAGATCAAAGATAGTACTGTATGTGCAATCCAATTCTTGTGATGGTAATTTGTTAACATTGCCACACACAACTGCCTGCATTCGATGCTAATGTAATATCTAATTGTCACTGCTGTGTTAGTCACAATGGAACTTTAGGTTAACTGTGTGAACACTACTTCAGGGTCAATTAATGTTTCATATAATAAAATATTAGACTGCTTCATGCCAACAAAGCGTTGAAGTGCTTCGCATTATTACCCCCGATCACTGGATCAAGCACATAATAGAAAACATACTCAGCTCCCTGGGGAGAATTCCATAACGTTGCAGCTGTAATCAGTGCATTTTGTGTTTGAACCTACCAAGTACCCGCTTCTGGGTGGAGAGACAGCCATAGGTAATGTGCCTTGCGCAAGGACACAAGCAAAATGCACAGTGAGTGATTGAACCTTCGACCTCAAGGATGAGAAGCAGAACTGAAACCACTGTGCCAGAAAACCACTCCAATGGTAGGTTTAAACATAAAATGTGATGATTACCAGATGCGACATTAAGAAATATTTCCCCAAGGAGCTGAATATGTGTTTGATAGTGTGTTCGATTCAATTAATATCGTTAATCCATGGCACATCAAAACACCTTAATGTATAATTGAATGATACTGCACAGCAATAACTAAACATTAATCAAGAAAGAAATGTGTACTCTGAAGACACAATTCCACTTCAACATCATGATTTCTGCTGCGAAAACCGTAATTGTATATTGTTTACTCCTGCGGGGGTGGGGAGAGGTTGATGTTTTGTATTCCGAACAATCTATAATGGCCTAATAATAGCAATTCTACTGATGATGTACTGTTGTTTTAACATTATATCAACACGTTCCACTATTCTAATTTCATTCCATGAATTCATTAAAACAATAAATCATTTTTTAAAAATAAAAATTGCCATTTAGGTTATCTTGCTTTCAATACGCCATTGTTAAGAAGTTTATGAAAAGAGATGAGTTTGCAATATAGAGCGTTGAAGATAAATTACCAATTTACATTATCGACGACAATGCTTTTTCTGAAAAGAAATTTAGCTCTTCCAATTTTGTAAATTCATATTATTTCCTATTAGTGTATAGCTTTATGCTAATAGTCATTATATCTGTTATCCATCTTGCTACAATGCTGATGTATTTGTTTTTTTTTAAATGATAATTGGAAATATTTCTATTTATACTACTTGGTGATAGGCGCACCATTGATATTGCTCTTCTAAATATGCTATATGGATACAAAATATATTTTATCAAATTATTTCATTGGTGTACAGTTATTGCATTATATGTATCATGATTCATCATAATAAATATTTGTAGATATGTTTGTTTAAGTTACACTTTATATTCAGATTTATTCAAAAACATTTCACAGGTTTTATAATCAAAATTTAAGACATGTGAATTAGGTTGGAAAGATCATTTGTCTTTTGTATAAACGTAATTTCATTATGACGAATCATTATTACTATATATACCAGGCCTACACCAATATAATTTATGTGGTGGACACTGTGTATTAAGATTGTTAACATTAATTTCAGTTCACCTCTCAATTTCAGAACCCTCAAATTCGAGACCGATTTTCCAACGTGCAGTAAAACAACAAACTTAAATTGCAGAAGAATGAGCTGCTCCGCGTATTTGTATTAAAATATTGATGGGACATCCGCCCTCCTGCGAATGGGGTAAAATTTGACTATTTTACTTTAGTGGAGAAACTACAGAAAACAAAAGAATCAGAGCGGCGCCTTTATTATTGCTATATAGCGCAGACGGGGTAAAATAGCTCTCTGTACACTCACAATGCCTTTGGAACGGATGTTCCACTATTTTGGGAAGCTGCTCTATCTTCTGCTATTTATTATCTTTGAGTAAATTAACAATCTTTAATCTTTCAACACCAAACTAACCCGTTAGAGACCTTTTGTGGTCTTGAATTGGAGAGCGAAGTGTATTTGTAGACTTAAAGCAGTACAAACAATACCGTGAATATTTTGTTTTTCGAGGAGTTGGGCCTTTATTGCTTTAGGTTGGCCCTATATGTTTTTCTGGGGTTGCATTTATAGCTTAAGCATTTTGTTTTCTATTGAATGTTGTTTCCTTTTCCATATTAAACGAAAGTCGGGCACTCTCCGTCATAGAACGGTCGTACGACGACGAATCTAACTTCACTCCTTGTGAGCGCTATGTGACGCGACGCCATCTGCTGGTTGTCGGTTGCAGTCTAGTCTGAACATAGAGAAACTATTTCTATATTCTCTATGGTCTGAACAGGTCGTCATTAAAAACGATCCGTTGTGCGCGCATCGTTGCATTCTCCATGGAATTGCGTCGGCCGACGGCGTTGCATTCTCCATAAAATCGTATCGGTATTGGCCCCAGTGAATATCCTTGTGCCCGGCTTTATTATTCACAATGTTTAATATGAATTTCAACTGTGTATTACATGCCCATGGAGGTTTCGCATGCTATGTCAAAGTTCAATTAATATAAACCATCATTCTATTCTTATACACAACGTGTACATTCACAAATTTTATTAATGTTATGTTCCCATTCCGCACATCAAACTAGATTATTTGTTTATATTCATTGAACTTCGACATAGAACCATAAGAATGCTTAAATCGCAAATACTGTACTCTCATATTAGGAAGCTTTCGATTTGTGCGACGACGCGATGCTAGAACGGAATCACTCATGCGTAGCCGTTGTACTTGGCATCTTACGTTCTCTGCATACGTAGATTTGGCCAAATTGCGTTCCAGAATCTACTCGAGGTGACCTTAACGGTCTCGCATGCGCAGATGACTTTTAGTGACGTCATTACTATACGTTTTACGTCCAACCGTCGTCGTGCAATCAAAAGCTCCCTACAGTGTATAATTTGAGACTTTTTCAGTTTTATGTTGTTTTTGTTTTTAACTTCGAGATTATAAAATATCTATAAATATGTGAAATTAAAAAGACAGTTGTTTTGATAAGAGAAGTGTAAGATATAAAAATGTATATTTGTGCATGTAATATAGAGACAATTGGCGTGTCGTAATTTAATACGTATTGGAACAACACCATTTATTTCATACACTAAGCCTATATGTTGCAGTTGATTTATTTTGACAGTAGTCATTTCTGATAAGTTTTGGTAAGCTTGTATTTCCATTTTTTTAAAAGTATTTATTACCCACACTTAAGTTCTTGCGTGGTAATGTAAGGATGATGTGTTTATTTGCGGATGTTCATTTTTTATTTTTTTTTTTTTTTCGCTTGAGAGGTTATGAAATGGAGACAAATCTTTGCTGTGATAATGACACAAAAAATAAAATCAAAGAATACGAAGCTGGGTTAATTTGTTCTCTTAGTTCAACTGGTTAAAGTTTATCATGGTTGGGGCTATTTATATGATTTTATTTCTGTACATTTATTACATTATTATCGATTATGCCCATTATAACCAGATCAGTGGTGGCGCCAGAATTTTGCCGAGAAGGGGTCCGACAGAGTGTAGGGTTCACCGGAAGAGTTTCTGTGGCTTAGTATGGTCCAAAATCCAGTGTTTTTAGACCACAGTATTAGGGATTGGCAATCAAAATAACGTTATTTTGATCTGACGACTTTGTCGCAGGGGACCCAGGCCTGTCCGACAATAAGATTCCTCTTCTAGCATCTCCACTGAACCAAACCATCTTACAACAAAGCCTGTCCCGTGATTTAACCATCGCACCCAAGGGACCTCTTGAAAAGATTAGAATGCCTCCCATTGTATGAGCCTAAGCTTGAAAATGGATTTGCTTAATTTATATGTTTTAATATTATTTTAAAGCGTCCTTATAGGCCTATATGCACGTGGAGAAAAGTCCTTTCTAATAATTCACATTAGTTGTAAGTGCCACTCTAGCTGCCCTCGTTTAGGGTAAAACGTTTAAAAACTTTTTTTCAGATTCAGATTTGATTTATTTCGTCCACTCTTACATAGTACAAACATGAAATTCGTTTTCTTGGCAAACACACATAAAACAAAACAAAATATTATGGGTCTAATAATACATTCTTAATGCGTATAACAATAATTTGAAACGTCTTAAGTCTAATAGCAGTTGGTAAGTACGAGTTTATTGTTGTACTGCAATCGTTTTAATTCTACCAGATCGTGTGTCTGTCAATTTACAGTTTAGAAATGGAATTCATCTCAGAGAATGCTTTCAAATTTTAATAAAATTCCATCATTGCCTAACTGCGTGAGATCTTCAGTGCCAGTAATTCGACTTGCTGACTTTACGATCTTATTTAGTTTACTTAGATTCTTCTGTGTGATACCTTTTAACCATACTATGCAGTAGAATGTAACAACAGATTGAATAACAATGTAATAGAAAAGTAACATTGAATCCATGATGCCTACATGAAAAATTCTTGAGCGAATACAGTCATTGTTGACCCTTAGCATATTCTTTACTAGATTGCGTATCTCTGTAGTATTTGTGATATTCTGGATTTTCAGCTAAAATCTAGGACTGATCTAAATAATTTATTTTCATAGAGCACTTAAAGTCAGCGTTTGCTCCAGAAATTTGCCGACACGGGGTCTGTCATGTCTGACAAGGGGCCGAAGCAAGGGGACCGACAAGAGCCTCGGTCAGAATCCCGGAATATAAAAATTCTTGGATAGTGTTCACAGGAGAGTTTGTATGGCCCCTCCCCCGCTGACGCCAAGACTGCTTCAAAGTTGTATTTTAATTTTTGTTCACTGATAGATACTTAAACATGTCTACACTGCAGATTAAAAAAAATAATCAAATTAAATATCTAAATAGCTTTAATAAATTAACGCCTTCAATCAAGATTCGAGATGTTTCGTAAAGAAATCCGTTTATTCGTGACGTTTGTCAAAATGCATGTAAATCAGCAACAGCCCCATTGTTTCGATTAGATTCTCGCGCTCTCAAAATTAAATCCTAATTTACAATACTCAAGGCAATACTGTAATGTTGTTATATCACTCGCTAACAAACAAAACCAATGTAATTTGACTGAATCGCCAAAGCAGGTTAATTTAAGAGAGTAGAACGTATCAGACCCCTGAGCTCAGCAACAAAATTAGCGTTGCATATTTTCGCACGAATTATCGCGATTTTTAAGGGTATTTTGTAAGCTGTATTATGCTTTCTAAGCCATGGAAACTCGCACAATTTTTTCCATCCACTCTAGTGATTTTGACTGCTAACGGGTGGGCCTATCTCCGTAACCTCCCAACTTGGATCCTTGTATTGGAATTAGATTTTTCATTACGAAATGATAAAGGAGTCGGATCATCATTACATCTGTTTTCGATGGTTGTTATTGAAACCGCCATGAATAGAACAACCCATATGGTGACGTCACAGCCTCCATAACATTCCCCATGGGTCCACCTAGGGATCCGTAATACATTACGGTCACTATTCGATGTGAATGGCCCACTCTTGATTCTCACGGTTTATAAGTGCACGAAATAGTTGTCGAAATCGTCAACATCTCTGGGGTTAATAGCACTTGATCGCAATGAATTCTGGTAGAGCAGAATTGTTTGATTCAATCGGATATGAAAGGCCAATTAGGCCCCATTGTATAATGAATGTAACTGGTTCGATTTACCGAACCGTATATATACTAAAACTAAATGCGTACACGCGTTTACGTTGATAAATACGCGAATTGCAGAGAAGAATTGCATTAGTATAGGCCTGTAGGGTGTACTTCGAAAACGACATGGAACTAATTACTGTGATACGTTTTCTGAATCTGGTCGGGTTTGTTTTTTGTGTGTGTGTGTGACATGTAAGCCCTTCAATTTGTATATTTATATATACAGTATATTTGTATATTTATATATATATATATATATATACAGTATATATATATATATATTTATATAAATCATCAAAGAAAGGTAAATACAGTGTTCGAATAAAGGACATAATAATGTCCTTTATATATATATATATATATATGGCAAAGACAAGCCAAGCCAGTCACTCGTCGCAAAAATAGATTTTTAGTTATGATTAAACAGTAAAACGAGAGCTATAAACTGGTAAAAGAATCATTTAAATTCGTTGTGAAGTTACAGGAGTTTAAACATACAGCTGTTTAAAGAATTTGAGAAATCAGCCTTCAGATTTATGATTTTGGACATTTCTCAGGCAGAAACCATCGCCAAATCGTTAGAAATTGTTGTTTTAACATTGAAAATGGGAAAAATGACAGCATAGTAATTATAATAAAATAGATTTCAAAAATGTTGACATTCCAGCATGTTTTGGCCAGTATCTTTGAAACAGGATTTGCCACGAGTGACTGGTTTGGCTTGTCTTTGCCAGATACTATTGCAACGAATAGTAGTGTTTGTAAACACTTGCTATAATACATGTTAAGATAGTTGAGAGATAATATACAATTAGAAATATATATATACAGTATATATATATATATATGTTATATTTGTAAACACTTGCTATAATACATGTTAAGATAGTTGAGAGATAATATACAATTAGAAATATATATATACAGTATATATACTGTCTCTTATACACATCTAGATGTGTATAAGAGACAGCATTATTATCGATTATGCCCATTTGTCATTTTTTTTATGGAGACAGTGGTTTCAGTTGCCTTTTCAAGTCGTATGTAAACTATACAGAACAATGAATAAATTGTTCTCAAGGTTTTTATGCTCCTACTGTACTATTAAGTTTAATACTGATGAAATGTCGCCTACTTATATTACGAAAATATACCAGTTATTTTTAAATGTATGTCTATAGTCTGTCTCTTATACACATCTAGATGTGTATAAGAGAAAGATATATATATATATATATATATATATATATATGCCTATATTTCATAATTGAAATATAGCTAATGCGTTTGAATTATGTTGACAATAAAATAATTTTGATAATGATAATGTTAATAGCAATAAACTTAATAATACAAAAAAATTTTAAATCGCAGACAATAAGGTCTTTTTATTACTGTAACACTGTTGCACTTAATGGGTTTCTGAAAATAGATTGAAAATGTCTGCAGCTTACCACTTATTTCATAATTTGATTTTGAATAGAATCTCTAAATGTGAATTTGAACCATTTATTTGATTTAGTCCTATATATAAAGACTTAAGCGAAAATTGCCAATAACGATCACGTACGTCCCCGTATGATACGGGAGTGGTTGATAATTTCAAGAGGTCTTACATTGAAAATTTAGGCTTATCTTATTATTTCACCAGACAAAAAAAAACATGCATGTTTGTAGAAGTTTTAGGGGAGGGGGAACTAAGACCTTTCAGCCCCTACATTGACACGTAACAGACGACGATCAATACAACTCCCTCTTCACTGAATAGTGAACTGTTTTGTGCACGGAGCCGACATCAAAACATCCCTTTCGAAGGACGAGTTAAAATTAGATTTTTACTAAAATATCTTGCCCATTGACACGAAATTCTGAATTTTCAGGTTTGGTATTGAAAGTAAGGTGGCTGATGGGGGTGGGCCGGGTTTGGGTGAAGTGAGACGACTCGGTGATACAGTGATGGGGCGCTGGCTAGGAAAATAATGTGGATGAGATGCTTTCATCTACTTAAGCGTAAATTTTGTTTTCAATATAGTACCATATCCATTCAATTTTATCTAAATGAGATATTGGTAATTTTTCATGTTCAGCGTACCTCATACATTTGTGTTTCATTCTACTTTATCTAAATTAAATACGTATTGGTATTTTTTAAGTTTTATTGCGTTACTCATTTGTGTTTCATTCTATTTTTTCTAATTTATATTATGTTTATATACTTAATTTTTCAATGTGATATTTCTTGTTATGTATTTTTAATGTTTGATCATTTCTTGGTACTTTTGGTACTGGTATTTTTTTTATTTTTTTATTTTTTTTTATTGCGTTCCTCATATATTTGTGTTTCTATTTTATCTAAAAATGAGATATTGTTCTTTTGTCGATGTTCATTGCGTTCCTCGTTATATCTGTGTTCCATTCTGTTTTATCTAAATGAGATATAGGTTCGTAGCGTACCTCATTATATTTGTATTTTATTACAGTGATTGGCTTAGTCGTCGGTTCTGACAATCCAAGAGAGCCTGAGGACCGGAACGTGTTTTTATCCGCCCCGTCGTTAACCCAACCTAAATCGGCACAAGCACAACCAGCTGCTCACAGACGACTTAAAGCGATCGCCAAGAAAACAGAATCTTTTCCGTGCGCATTACCAATATCGAGTAAGATGATTGGATATGAAGCCATTTTTTCTTCACAAGAAAACAGGTCAAAGGTCATCGTCAACGTAATCACAATCATTATATATCTTCATATCAGTTAGATTATATTCTACATCATTTATCATCATATAGTCATATATAAATATAAATAGGCCCTATCTATGTGTGTGTATATATACTGCTTAGGTTTTTCTCAACATCTATTATAATACCAGTGATACCAGGCCTATGCCTATATACAAATTTTAGTCCTTTTCTTTCTCCAGGCGTATTTAGATTCTTGAACAGAGGTATACTTAAACAGAAGAGTAGGCCTAAACCTAAGCAATACGAGGAACAGAGTGCTAATCGGCCGTTGGCTAAATCCAAGTACATTAAGCGGTCATCGTCACGCGTTAGCCCAACTCTTCTGATGACGTCGCCAAATGCAACGAGTCTGGAGGTAAATACTGTCCTTAACATGCTTATTCATCCGGTAGAAGTTAAACCGAGTTCGTGCCCAGAAGGTGATACTTGCCATGGAGGCAGACCGGATTCAATAAACTTAAACCCACCTGGCCGTGTAAACCCACCAAGTACGACTCCCGTAAATGGCGGTAAGTTTGCTTGCACTGGTATTATGCTCATTTGTTTCTACGTTTTTCCACCCAAGAATCTCACTGCTGCTGCTGCTGATGTTGTTTTTTGTTGTTATTACCAAACTTGAAAAGCGTCCAGTGTCGCCGAGTGTTAAACGGACGTGCAAGAAATTTTGTACAAATTGGCTAGAGGTTATTTCCTACAAACGTTCAGGGCTCTTTTGTAAGTTTTAAGGGAATAAGGAAACCAAAGGTCGTGATTTCGATTCGCGTATTGGTACAGTATTCAATTTTCATTTTTTTTTTCAATTAGGCCTATAAGACAATTTACTTATTTATTTTTTAAATATTTTTTTTATTATGAACTATTGCCGAAAACCTTTTTTTTTTTCAATTATAAGACAATTTATTTATTTATTTTTTAAATATATTTTTTTTTATTATGAACCATTGCCGAAAACCCAATATAATAACTTACGCCACTGTTTACTGTATTTAAGCATGGATGATATTTCCTCCATGATTTAAGCATGTTTTAATAGTGTCAATAAAAAGCCTCGTCTGAAAGACACATGAAGCGTTAAACATTGCATACATAGAGGTAACCTCATTGTTTAACGCGCGGACCGGTAAGCGATCGCTCTTGTTTGATAAAAAATATTACATATGCTACTGTAAATAAATTAATAAATAACTGAATAAATAGATATATATATAAATAAACATTAATAATAATTACACAAAGCAAAGATGCTTTTAAAGCAGGTTAATGGAAAATGAATTGAATACAATTTTTGATACATGGTGCGGTGTAATGTTTTGATTTTATGCTGTATAAATATTAATAATAATGTTTATATGTATTACTGTGATGTTGTAATATTAATATTTTTCACACGCACGTGTGCACATAATATGAAGGCAAGTAAAGTCCGAAACCAATGAGAGCGAGTCTGTTTTGACAGAGCCACCTTTTTTAAGCACCGTATGATAAACCAAACCACCTGTCCTTTTGCATTAAAAACATCAAAATGATGATTGAATTCACCATCAATACGCTCATATCGATGTTTTTATTTTTTCTTCCATTTTAAGGAAGATAAGAATTAATTAAATCAAATACTTACCATGAAAAAAAAACTTATGGCCGTTACAAGTTGCTTCGCGATAATAAAGTATTTCTACACTGAGATAAAGTATTCATCAATTTAAAATCCTATAATCTTCATAATGACTTTAACGGATCAACAAGACTCAAATGCAATGAATCACTATAGCAACCACGTATGATATCGATAAGAACTTGAGTATATTTGTTACGTGACTATTATATCGCCATTATACCATGCTCATCAAATCATAGAATATGAAGTTGAGGGTTTGGCTAATTGGTATGGTTCCTGCCGGCCTCTTGCACGCCAGGGCCAGGGTTCGATACCCGGCTCTGTATCGAGTATTGATACGTAACAAATTGAAGTCGGGTCGGCAAAAAACGAAAAAAAAACAAAAACAAAAACAAAAACAAAACGCTCAGCTCCTTGAGTAATCCTGTCAAGAGAGTAAATCGAGTTATTGACAATGGTTGTATCAGTCTGAAAAGAAGCCCATGGGCGTCTTTTCGAGATGGTCTTCTTTTTTTTAGGCTACTTTTGCAAACTTAAGAGGGGCTTCAATTTAGGATGGGCTTCTCAAGATTAAGCGCATTGAATTTCTACGCGATGTTTTACGGTAGTGACATGATAATTTACAGTAGGCTTAGATGTGGTAGATCCCTGCTTTCTGGGCCTACATTGCTTCTTTTAAATTCTTATATGACATATGATTTATATTGAAAGAAAAAAAGGAAATGTGTTGATGAGCACGAAATTTACCATAGGTGGATTTAAGAAGTACTTAGCCTCCCCTCCTCTCCCCCACCAAATTGTTTAAACTTATATTTAAACACTGAAGAAAAAAAAGAATAATATATTCAAATGCAATTGTCTTAGAGAGCCATTTCTGGCCAAATTAAGAACATTTCGCATCTCAGCCCCAACAATAGTGGGGCTGAGGTGGTCTAGACGCTTCATCATCTGTCAAAATACTGCCTTTAAAGTTTTTTCTATATACGCTATCAAATTTCATCAAAAAAGCATCACATTAAAGTTTATGGAACATAGAGTTGAACACGTTCAACTTTTTTGATAGAATTTGATGATATGTGATATGACGTCATCATGCCCATATATGGGCACATCACATTTTTTTGTCACATAAAATTTGATAGTGTAGACAGAGCTTTAGCCTGTTTTCCACTGAGCGAATATATTCGCGCGAATCGAAAGAGTCAGTTGGCTTCCTGAGCTCTGATTGGCTGCGCATTTTTTTCACTTCGCAGAAATTAGAAACAGTTTGAACTTCCGATTTCGATGAAGCGGAAAACTCCGACAGGAATGTAAATGCTCATGCGCATGAACGACGCTTTCGATTCGCGCGAATAAATTCGCCTAGTAACTTTGATCCGCCACTGTGCTCATGGAGAAAAAATGTTAAACGTCAGTAACATTCCCCGGTTTAATTCCCCATCGCTGTCCTTCTTGTGTTTCAGCTGGAGGACTGAAATACGAGTTACGATAGCATATCGTAGTCCTTCGGATGAAACGTTTAAGCCGTTGGTCCCGTGGGCAATATGGCTCATGTGCGCGTTAAAGAACGCAATATGCTATTCGGAAAAGCGTATAGGGGATTGTTTCTCGGTGTAATATCCAATTCGCCACCAGGGCCCCACTGGAAACATGTCTTCGGACTTCGTGGATTATCCTTGCTGTGGTTCACACCGAAATACTCCATTCTGTCCTAATTATTATGAATATTGTGGTGAGTTGTACTATAGAGTAAGCTTAAGAAGTACCGTGTACATGAAATCCTGTGTTAATAAAACTCACAACTATAATCTCAAAGTGCTACTTTTGATCAGAAAACGTATTGTACTGTTTATTCAATCAGCCAACAAGGAGTTGGCTGACTGCAATGTTCAAAATGGCGCTATGACATTGGTATTACTCAAAGTAAATATAATAATGTAAAATAGACGTGATACCATAATACTGTTATATTTTTCATTTGTTAGTCGTTTATTATCAAGCCGAGTTGATGGAATACCATAGAGCTATTAAACAACTAGAGTTCTGAGAAGATGGCGAAGAAATGCAGAGTTGTGTATGTGTACCATCCAAGATGGCCGCCGAAAGAAAGCGCCACCTTCAGGCTTACTATACATATTATTACCATAAATAAGCCCTCTGACTGACTAATTATTTCATTAATGATAATTAGTATTAATAATAAGAAATTATTAAACTATCGTAGCCAAAAAGAGGCCAAGTAGAGCATCTTATTCAAAAATTTTAAAAAATTAAAATTGTGTACATTACACATACACCGCAACGCTCGAGTTTCAAATATACGGGTAACTAGCTGTACTGAACTTTCTGTGTAAGTTGAGGGCGCCATTGAAAATGATAGGGCTTAGGCGAAATTTGATTGGCTGAATCTATGGCAGCCATCTTGGATGGTACACAAACACAGCTCTGCGTACATCGAACATCGAATACATTCAGTTAGCGCTCTAGTATTCTTATTTTATCTCCATGTGGAATACAGCGGTGGCGCAAGTGGGGGCGTAGGGGGGCCTCCCCCACCCGCGTCGGCGCTCCCCCGCCTTCGGGGTTTAAAGCCACAATTCGTCAGGCAGAAAAAAAAAATTATATGTATTTTTTACATAGGCCTATTTAGTAGAAAAAATCTACTGTATAAAATCGAAGATATAAGTCTTTGAAACTCCAAAATTGTCATATTTTTCACCTCTGGACCACTTTCGAAACATTTTGAGCGACGCCCGACCACGCCCACTCTAGTCGGGGACATCGCCCCCCCCCCCCCCCCCGGTCGTCGCTCCCCGTCGGGAAAATCCTGGCACCACCACATTCGCAAGTGGTGGTGGTGAAAACGAATATAACACTGCACAAATTCAAAGAAACAAAAAATAATTTTATACTATCTTTCTTTTTAGGCATCGTCTTCGACCAAGAATGGCATGCCGTTTACCTGTCAGTTATCATTGCAATCATGATGGTCAACACCTCTTAACCGAGTCGGGTCACTAAAATTGAAAACCTATCAGTCAGTGGTGTGTAGGTTTTAGATTTAAAGCCTATCATTGTCACACTTCAGCCTGTTTCATTGTGCCATGGTACGTGTCTATGCAACGCGTTTTACTGGAAGATTTAAATGTAATGGACCACGCGTTTCTTCTGACCCGTGCAGTTTTAGGAATAATCAGAGGGAGCCGTGATACTGAAATTTAAAATCTTGTCGGTTAAAGCCTTGTTTCCATAAAAATCATCGTTACATCGCATAACAGCGTCTCTCGCACAATCGAGAAGGCTCCCGATTCGACCAACCACTCAGCTTGACCAATAGCTATCGGCAGTAGCGTGTAGCGATTTAAAGGAAATCAGGCTTCTTGTCAGTTAAGATGATTATGATTCCTGACGGGTCTTTTCGGTTAAAGCGCAGATGCTGGTTAAGGCGAATCTCGATTGCCGGTTAATACCATGATTGTCGGTTAAGATTAATTCCGCCGAGTTGATTGCCGGTTTTGATGTTTGCCAGTTTAGACGCTTGCCGGTTAAGTGTATTAAGTTGATTGCCGGTAGTTGATGCTGGTTAGGCGTGCCGTTAAGATGATTGCTGGATAAGATGATTGTCAACTAAAGATTATTTTAGGTTTATAAGATGATTGCCGTTAGTCACGTAACCGATTAAGATGCTTTCAGGTTAAGATGATTGCCGGTTAAGGTGCTTGTCTCTTAAGATGATTTCCGTTAATATTTGCCGGTTAATGTGATTACCGGTTAGATTATTGCCCTTTAACATGATTATTGCCCTTTAACATGATTATTGCCCTTTAACATGATTATTGCCCTTTAACATGATTACCAGTAGATCGCCGGTAAGATGCTTGTCAGTTAAAAAGTTTGCCGGTCATGATGCTTGGCATCCAATTTTGGAAAAATTAAAATCATTTTTTACAGTGGTGAATTACCTACTCGCTCTATATAGTGCACGAAAATAACATTTAAAAGAAAATATGTAGGCCTAGATACTATAGAAACCGTACCGAATTCAGGCCCTATTATTTCATTGGTTGGTAAGTACTGAAACGTTTTGGTGAGCGTGTACCTACGGAAGCAAACAGGGACTGATCCAGAATTTTTCAAAGGGGGGGGGGCACAACAGTCTCAGAATAGATAAGTGAGTAGCACATAACATTGATTTGCATTGAATTGTTTTTAATTTAGGTCTCTTATACACATCTAGATGTGTATAAGAGACAGATGTGGTAGATCCCTGCTTTCTGGGCCTACATTGCTTCTTTTAAATTCTTTTCTAAATTGGAGGGGACCAGAAGGTCAAGGGGCCCGACTACCTCAACATGGTTCCGATTAACTCAACATGGTTGGGGCTAAGATACGAAAATTTGTGACTATGACAGTTCAACACGGCCAGAAACTGTGAATGCAATATTTTTTCCACCATTTTAATACATTTTGCAAAATGTAGTGGGAGGGTGGTTGGATGAAAAGGGGCGTCATACCCTACCTCTCATCTTCTGATTTTCGCAATGAGTTGTTTAAATAAAAAAAAGTGGGGGAACATCAATTTTTTATAAATTCAAATCCTTTTAAGAAGTTTGTTTTTTTAGTTGGTGCACCTAATTTTGATATTCTTCTACCTGTTATTAAATTTGTTAATAGTGATTTTAAAAGACGTGTTATTTAATGTTTATCTTTTTCTTTTTCTTTTTTTTCTGTATACTGTGTACGTTTGTTTTTCGTTGTTTTATTAGTTCTCGATGTTAATTTTATGGAGTATGTTTGTTGATAAATTAATAATAAACTGAAAAATATGTGGTTTGGTAAAGTGCCACCGAAACAAAACCTGTCGATAGGTGTAGGCGAAGAAAGAGCAGTTAGTGAGTGCACGTTGCGTTTTGGAAGCTAGTCTTTGGAGGGTGGGCACCACAAAAACCAAATAGGTTGGTGGAAAGCAGATATACACAATTGGTTAGTTTGGTAATCTATTGTTAAGAAATTGGGGCTGAGGAGGTTTTGAAGCAGTGGTTGGTAGGCCTGTACCACTGCAGTAGGAAGATGGTTTTCGGTGGATGCCACTGTGGGAAACATAAGGCCAGGGCCCCCCATCCCCAACCCGTCGGGGTGAAAAACCACCAACAAACCAAAAATAAAACGTACATGTATTTTCTACATAGTAGCCAGATTTTAAAATCGATTAAATAAGCCTTAAACTCCAATGTCTATTTTTTGGGGCTTCGCCCCCCCCCCCCCGGAACACTTTCGAGAGATTTTGAGCATGGCCTGACTATGCCCACTTTTTTCGTCGGGGAGATCGCCGCCGCGCGCCACCCCTGGTTGGTTGGGGTGCTTCTGAAAAAATTAACAGTTACGTGTGTTTTTGCCACTATAAACAAAATCGTAGTGTCAATAAAACAAACCGGTTAGTGTGGCTCAAGAACTACCTCTCTATGTACTATGCGCCCGACAGTCGGCCACGACGCACGTGCAGCTGATCGCTTATAATGACAAACCGTTAAAAGACTGCCCACCGACAATCAACAGACGGCGTCGCGTCGTCTATCGCTCACAGGGAGCAGAGTTGAATTCGTCGTGCGTTGAGAAGTGAGTGCCCCGGCTTTATTCGTATTAAATGTACTAGGACCGTTTATAAGATAATTATTTTTTAGTAGTTAAGATTAAAATGTTAGTACTGTACATGTATAGCATAATATGTTGTTATTGTAAGTTAATTTTGTGCCGAGGGTTATATCAAAAATGTATATAATATAGTAAGTGTATGTCACCTGAGGGGGAATTAAAACATACTGAATATATCATGATCTTGAATTGAACGTTTGTAAAAGTTATCTTTACCTTAGTAGCTTATTTTATCCATTTTAAATAAGCTATATAATGGTCATTTTAATTTTTTTTTTTAATTTTTTATTTCAGGTTTTATTACTGATAGGCATATCTACAGCACTGCACAGGCTACCTCAATAATATAGGCCTAAGCTTCTAGCAGTAATTTCACTGACCTGAATGACACAAAGCAACTAGAAGGTCACACATTTATTTAATATAGGTAGTCTCGTTAAATAATGTAACATACATTAGTTTGGCTAAATTTGTAACGACAGAAATTTTATGGGCATAAAAATCTGTACGTTCATAAATTAAAGCATTACCGTACAGTTACCAGTATAATAGAAAAAAAATCACTACAAAATCAGCAAAATGCTTTCAATATACGTTGCTTCCAGGGGCTTCGCTCCCTGGACCCTACCAGGAGCCCTAGGTGATCCTCAAGCAAAATTTACGCTTTAATCGTTCAGGGTGGCTCAAGAACTACCTCTCTGTGTAGGCCTACTATGTGCCGAAAATCGTCGGCTGAAGCGACTCTAAAGAACGCAATGCCACGACGCGCGCACACCACATCGTTCCTAACAACGATCCGTTCAGACTGCCACCACTGACAATCAGCAGACGGCGTCGTGTCGTCTATCGCTCACAGGGAGCGTAGTTGGATTCGTCGTGCGACGAAGTGAGTGCGGCCCCGGCTTGATTCGTATTAAATGTACTAAGAGCGTTTATAATTAATAGTTAAATATATTTGAGTAGTTACGATTTAATGTTGTCCGTACACGTACAGACTACTAATTGTTAATGAAAGTTAATTTTGTGCCGAAGGCCATATCAAAAATGAGTAAGTGTTTTTTACTTAGTGTGAATTAAAGCATACTGGATATATTGAATAAAAAGTTTTTAAAGTAGCAGTTAGGCCTATCATTTCCTTAATAGCTTAAATAAGCTAAAATGTTTGATTTTTAATATTCTAGCAGTAATTTCACAGGCCTGAATGATACAAAGCAACTAAGAACTAAGAAGGTCATAATATGAGTAGTCTTTTTCAATGTAACATACATTAGTGATTAAATGTGTAACGGCTGAAATGTCATGTGCATAAAATATAAAATAACTGTACGTTAAACCAATACATCGTACAAGATACAAGATAAATTTTATTGTCCGAAAGCAAATTACATTTGGATATTACATCGCATGGAAAATTTAGAAAAGTCAAACATAAGGACATACTCACCACAGTATAATAAAAAAAGAAAAACGCATCACAAGCTTTGAGGGGTGGGGGAATCTGATTCCTTCCCGATTGCGTCAGGGCAAGCATTGCACCATGATTTGTCTGCAACGCAATCGGCAAAGTTGAACCAGGTTCACTTTCCCGGCGACTGTCGCCGATAGGGTGAGCGATTCTATGGAAACCGTGCTTCAGGAAACGCAGCGCAACGGTTGCAGTAAAAAGAAAAAAAAAAGTAGAAATTGACAGAGTAGCCATTGTATGGAAACCAAGCTAAGTACGCCGAGTGTGTTAAGATGATGTAGGTATTTTTCTTGATTGGTAACCAGTTTCGGGCAAAAACGTTCCCGATGATTTACAAATTATATTTAAATAAAACGCTGAGTAGGCCTAGCCCCTACATACGCCTGCTTTCGACGACTTCGCCGCAAACCACCTTACTTAATGTAGGCCTAATGCTGGCTAAATCGCCACCACAACACGCACCCTCGCTCATGTATAAGGCGAGTCGAACGTTCTAGCAGTTAATTAACATGGCCGGCGGAACCGCCCCCCCCCCCCCCACTTTTTGGCAAAAAATATATGTCTGGAGATTTTTGTATGATCGGAAAGAAATGCAAGAAAAGAAAGAGGGAAGAAGGAGGAGAAGGATGGGCTGGACATTTTCTTGCAATTCACATTGGCGGTCTGGGGGAGGGGGGTCATCGGTCCTGACCCCTCCCTTGGGCCAAAAAAAAAAGGGGAAAAAAGAATTTCAGACCTACCTTTTCAGGACGATTTTTTTTTACACTTAAGAAAATCGGAATTTTGAAGAGCATAAAAGTCATTAAAACATAATTCAAACGTCGAAAAGGCTCATTTCCCGCCATCTAGGAATCACAGTTTTCCCCCGGACCACCATTTCTTGTTGGAATTTATCGATTCATGGAAAAAAGAATACGCATACAACCACTCATTTGTTTATGTGTATACACACATAAAATAAAAAATGAGAAAAATTTACCTGACCGTTTTCAAGAGGGGAAAACCTTGAATTTTGAAGAAATTAAAAAGTCATATATAAATGACATTTCAGAAGTCAGGAAAGCTCATTTCCCGCGATCTAGACATCGAATTTTCCCGGGGGAACCCGGACCCCCTTTTTCCTTTTTGTGCATTGATTCATTGAATCACTTTCAAGAGGGGGGAACCTTGAATTTTGAAGAACTTAAAAGTAATTGAAAGACACCTCAGAAGTCGGGAAAACTAATTTTTCCGCCTTCTGGGAATCAAAAGTTTTCCCGGGAAAGAACCCATGGACTCCCCTGTCTTATTGGGATTTATCGATTCATGGAAAAAAATCGTATGCAACTACTCATATTTTTATTTTTATGTATGTACACCCACATAAGGCCTATTTATTGTAAAAACAATAGGAAAAAATTACCTGATCGTTTTCAAGAGGGGAAAACCTTGAATTTTGAAGAACTTTAATTAAAATCGCTAAAAGATACTTCAGAAATCGGGAAAGCTGTTTTCCCACCATTTAGAAATCAACATTTTCCCGGGGAGAACCTGAACCTCTCTTTTCTCTTTGGGTTCATTGATTCATTATAATAATAAAGAGGGGAAAACCTTGAATTTTGAAGAACTTCAAAGTAATTAAAAGACACCTCTAAAGTCGGGAAATCTAATTTCCGCCTTCTAGGAATCAAAATTTTCCCGGGGGAGATCTCCCAGACCCTCTTTCTTTTTGGGATTTATCGATTCATGGGAAAAAATCGTATGCAACTACTCATTTTTTTTTATGTATGTATACACACATTAAGCCTATTTACTGTAAAAGCAATGGGAAAAAATTAAAAATGGGAAAGTAATTAAGACACCTCAGAAGTCAGAAAAGCTCATTTCCCGCCATCTAGGAATCCAAATTTTCCCGGAACCCCCTCCCCCACTTTTCTTTGGAGCTTCGATTCATTGAAAAAAGAACACGTAGGTCTACGCAACTACTCATTTTTTTAATGTATTTTTACACACATATTAGGCCTATTTACTGTAATAAGAATGAGAAAGTTTACCTGACCGTTTTCAAGAAGGGGAAAACCTTGAATTTTGAAGAACAAAGTCATTAGACACCTAGCTCAAAAGTCGAGAAAAGTCATTTCCCGCCATCTACAAATCAAAATTTTCCCGGGGAAAGACCCCGGACCCCCTAGATTTGATTCCAGATCTGCATGATTCATATTCCCATTCATCTTATAAGTGCCCCCCCCCCCCACACTTTGAAAAACGTTCCGCCGGCCCTGATTAAGGCAGGGGCGCCGCACCCCTACATCCATAATATCGGCGCTCTTTATTGTTGTCATTATCATTATTGTTATACTGTAATTATTTATATTTATCATCATCGTCGTCGTCGTAATCATCACCACCATCATCATTACTGTTTGTGTGTTATGTATTTCCTTCAATTGGAATTATTTTCTAGATTTTATAACACAAATTATTGTCTCATCAGCCCTTGTTGGCTTGAAGTACTGTACTTCATAATGCAGGCCAATAAGACATTTTACAAAAATGATAGCTTCACTCAAACGGCACGGTTTTATTTTGTGCTTTCTAATCACATCTGTATTCACAAATAGACAATACAGATACCGTGGATAGTTATACACAAGTCAATTCTGCCATATTTGTAGGCCTGCAGTACGATAGATTTTCCTCAAAATGTATTAAATTAACAAATTCTGCCATGAACTCTTATCAAGTTCAGAACACAAGTTAAATGTATGGTTTGCTATACCATAGTGTCTTAGCCCCTGTGAGCCCTCATTGGCTGCTAACACTGAAGAATGGTTTGATTTGAACCTTAAACGGACCCCGAAAATTTAATCGGCATTATATTTCCTCAAAAAACGTGGCCCCGAAATTGGCCTATCGGAGCTTCTTAATGAGTGTTAAAAAAAAAACAAAAAAACCATACAAATATGCCTTCAAGAATGGTAGAGTAGTAAGGGAGTTTGGCTTACAACCTACTAAGGCCTAAGCAGCCCCAGCCACCAGGGTAAAAGGGCCCAATGAAGCCTTATATCTCTGACACCACAGTAGATAGATATGAAATCCATTCTTCAAGTAGTAAATAATACCCTAAGGCTGATCTACAGCATAATTATTGCACAAACCACATTTTTGGAAGCACCTGCTCCCATCTCAATGGTTACTACGGAAATATAGTGCATTATAATATTTGTTACATTCACTAAATTGAAGCAATTTATTTCTTTTCTGTCCCTATACATAGCGACTACTGTACTATAATTTATGATCTTTAAATCATTGTTCTTTAATCGTAGCACTGTTTTTAGTTTTAATGAACAGTTATATATTATGTATCATGTATAAAACACACACACATACAGTATTATATGTATGTTTGGCTTTTGGTTAAAAATAAATAAACTAGAGTAGTCACTCCATGATAGAGTGCATACCTTTGCCCAGTGCATGAATAAGCAGCTTTCGATTTGGACGACGCGGCGTTCTACGATGGGCAGTGAAGCGTGAAACCGTACTGTGCATGCGAATACATGGGGAAGTCATTCGTTGTGTGGATTTGACAACGGGCTTTAAGCGATTTGGGATTGTGTTGATTATGGCAACGCGAGTTTTATAAATACGTGCTTGCTGGGGGCGTCTGCATAATTGATCACACGATACGAGGGAGCGCGTCTTCCTGTAAATCGAAACAGCTTTGATGTTAACATGGGAAGTGCATAGTACGACATTCATGGTTGACTGAATTCCCCGTCGCAGCTCCCTGCATGGCCCATTTCGAAAGCTCGGTAATACCGAAGAATACGTAGGCCGTGTACGTGTGGTGGTTAAATCCATGATATTTTCCTCCCTGTGCCTGACTATTGAACAAGTCAGGCCATCTATGATGGGGCCATTGCATTATTTTCTTTTATGCTCTGGATGAAAAAAAATCGAAATTCCATGACCTTGATTTTGTCCTTTGACCTTTTCTGCCAAAACTTAATGGTGTATTTCCTTGAATATTATGTACCATTCCATTAATTTCTATTATGATCACGAATTGTGAAGGTGTAAGCCTAGCGCTTCGAAAATGACGACTTCAAATAAGTTTAAATCTCTTGACAAAGACGAATTGGAAAGGATTAACAGTACAAAATTTGTTGCGAATTCGTCAATTAATGTAGGACCACTCAGTGAATATTGTAAAGCCAAGGAATCATCAATTACTTGCATTGAAAATTTCACAGCACCAGAGCTCAATGCGTTTCTCCGGTCATTCTACACTTAGGTAAGGAGAGCAAATGGTGAATTCAATGATATCGCTACGCTACGGACTACAGAAACATTTTTAAAAAGTGAAAGTAATATGAAGTATTTTGGCTATGAAATGGAACAGATATTGTGTAAAAGTTAAATAAAATTTCTTGATATTTAAAGTAATGTGTTCAGTTAATTATTTGCATCTATTTTTGGCTATGTAATATAACAGATATTGCCTTTTCAATCGGTGTAATAATAACATTTGATATCCCCTTGGGAATTATATTGTTCTCTCAGGACTATATTTTCCCTCAGCGCTACGCACTTTGGGAAGATATACTCCCTCGTAAAAATATAATTCCCTCTGGGATTAAATGTCATATTACACCTCTAAGCAGGCAATATCTGTATAATAATTTACCCTAATTTATTGCTTAACCAACTGATGTGATTTAGATTTATTTGTCTACCATTAAATTCTGAAAGCAAATCTATATTTGCAGCTTAAGCAAATTATGTGCTGTTTGTTTTTTTCGTGCATCACAACCATGTTGAAAGAATTGAATCAAGCTTCCACAAAAAACGAATTAAGATTAAGAAGCCTTGTAAGGGCAGCATACACATTCTTGATCCCCGAGCCAAGCCATCAATTTCAAAACAAGAATCCACAAAAAATGTTTTAAGATTTTAGAATTCTTGTGAGGGTGGCAGACGTGCTGTTGGTCACTAAGCCAAGCAAACACAGTGTACATTGCAGCAAATTTATGTCCACTTATGCGTCATCCATCTCTAAATTTATGCTGTTGCCAAATTTGGCGTAAAGCTGCACCTTCAGTTCTGAGAGGGTGTTTCTGATTTGTTGTGCATCCTCTTCTAGTTGCTCGATGTCTTTCTGTACAACCTCCTTTGCAGTTTCCACAAGTGCCTGAGTGTCTTCAACAGTGTGACCAAGAAATGATTCACCAATCTTATATGTAACCTCTTTGTTAAGAAAGAATCTAAAACAGTATTTACAGGTACTGTATTTGAGATTTTTGGTTAGAAATGCTTAACCACAGGCCATTTCGTAGTGGAACTGCGTATGCCCATATCAAGGTTATCGACACATGCACACGACATAGGTTTATGTCGATCGACCTTGGATACTGGCATGAGCAGTTCCGATTACGAAATGGCATTGGGGGGGGGGTTGGTCTTGCTGTTCTCATTGGTGACTGCTATGACTGTTCCAGACAACTTATAACAGCGGTAACTAGAATTCATTATACGCGATTATCCGCTAAAGGAATCTACATTAAAGCAACAATTACACTAAACACAAAAATGACACAATGACGACATATATCATATTATGTTAAAGTTTTAAATGATTATCAAGCATTTCACAAATCTCTATTGGAAAAAAAAATTTAGTTCTAGGCTGCCAGTCAGGCCTGGACAACACCAATTTTTATTTTTATTACTGTACTATTATTTTTTTATACCTACTGTAATATAAAAGCGCTAGAGCTTGTAGAAGTCAATAAAGGATATGGGATAATAGCATCATCATCAACCATCAGAAGATCTTCGGCTGCATCTTCCAATTTCTGAAGTTCTTTCTATTTAAAAAGATAAATGGATAAAAATAAGGTCATGAATTAGGTCATATACAAAAAAAATGCTTAAAATCACATCTTCACATCAAATTCAAGCCAGCTAGGTTTGTTTTTTTTTATATTTTTCTTAATTCAATAATTTTACACAGAATACACAGGTGTGGATCCAGAATTTTTTTTAATAATGGGGGGGGGGGCACAACAATCTCAGAATAGGTAAGTGAGTAACACATAACACTGATTTGCATTGAAAATTTTAAAATTCAGTGGCAAAACTGGGGAGGGGGGACATGCCCCCATTCCCCTCCCCCTGTCCCCCTTACTGGATCCTACCACTGCATATCTAATGAATCCTAAGGCTCTGTCCACACTATCAATTTTTTTTTTACAAAAAACTATTGCATGGCCATATAATAGTCATGATGTGCCTATATATGGTCATGTTGTGATGTCATCATGACCATATTTAGATATGTCACTTTGTCAAATAAAATTTGATAGTCTGGTCAAGGCTTGTATCATACCATATAAAGTCAGTTGTTTATTTTTGGTATATTAAACATTGCAGCACATTACATCGTTCACTATGGATACCGTAAAACCTTGAATAGAAGCCCTGGGCTTCTCTTTTTTTGCGAAATTTGGATGGGCTTCTCTTCGAGATGTGTTTCTTTTCGAGACTACTTTTACAAAGTAAAGAGTGGGGGCTTCTTTTAAAAATGAATGCTGTAAATTTTGTGATTTTGTACTATAAAACAATAAATAGGGTCACTGTACCATCAATCTGTATCATGGAGTGTATTTAACTGGCATTAAATCACCTAAACTACTGTATAAACCAAGCTTGTATGTACAGTGTACTGTGCTATCTCGAAAAGAAGTCTATGCTATCTTGAAAAGAAAAACATGGGCTTCTTTTCGAGATGGGCTTTATCTCGAGATTAAACCCACTGGGCTTCAATTCAATGTTTTACAGTATTCTTCTGACATGCCGTAGAGCATTAAGTTAGCAAGACGACTGAAGTTTAAAGTTGGGGTTAAGCCAGCTCCACCAATTAACACCACAGATTTAGAAAAAAAGGTTATATCCTCGGCCTAATTGTTTCTTACGACTAACTTCTCAACTTCCAAAGCCGTAAAATACAGTAGAATTAAATTTCAATTCAATGATTCATGACTGTTTGTACATTATTTTACCTTTTTGTTATTTATTTCTTCCATGAGTTCAGTGAGCTTACTGGTTTTGCGAGCATATTTATTAATTTTCTGTTGATCATCAAATGTGACTTGAGCACCTTCTTCTTGTCCCTACACATAATAAATAGTAGAAAAACCACACAACATTTTTTAAATTATAAAATATGAATTTCATTACAGCAATCTTTTAGGTTTAAATGAAAAAATAGCCTTCCACTACCATTGTCAGAGGTCTACAGGCCCTGGCCTTAAAAGAAGAAAAAAAAAAAATTTCTGTTGATCATCAAATGTTACTTGAGCACCTTCTTCTTGTCCCTACACATAATAAATAGTAGAAAAACCACACAACATTTTTTAAATTATAAAATATGAATTTCATTACAGCAATCTTTTAGGTTTAAATGAAATTAACTTATAGAAAATAATAATAAACAATAATTTAGTAAATATTGTATTTGGGCACATGACTTGATGATGGCCAAAACAAACTATCTACAGTAATAACATTTTAGTAAAAACAGATTAGGCCCATAAAAAAAAAAATATTAGTTTATCACCCGCTCCCTCATCACTTTTGGGAAAAATCTAATTTTTTTTTTTTTTTTTTTTGCCCCAATCAACATAATATTTTTATTTCAAATGGTCCTTTTTCTATCTTTTTTCACTAGAAAAGCTTAGGATTTCTTGCAAATATGTTTACCTTACTGGTAAAACAAAAACATATTTTTAAAATATAAATGACTCCAGTCTTATGACTTTTTATATACCTTTGATTTACTTGTAAAATGGGGGCGGGGTTAGCAAAAAAAACAAAAACAAAAACAAAAACAACAAAAAGCCCTCCCTCCCTCATCAGTTTTTATTCTTTGATAGGGTGATAAACTAATAATTTTTTTTATGGGGCCTTAATTAATGTTTTTTTTCTTAAATTATTATTAATTGTGGGATGAATTAAAATATCTTATCATGAGAATACATGGCATTGGTGGGCCAGATAACAAAAATAAATAAGAAAGTAAGAATTTGGCGGGTTCACGAAACAATTACACTGCCTACCTCTGACACTCGACTGTATAAAGTATACACAAAAGCAAGAGCATTCTACAACCTCTTAATTTGCCTAGTAACAAAGAAGTCGTGGAGAAAATGGTAATCTATTATGACAAATAGACTCTATTTCTCAATTTTTTTATCCTTTTACATAAAAATAAAACTAAAATTTATGCCAATATTTTTCATCCATGCATTGATGGTTTATAATTTAGAGAGTTGCATGCATTGTTAAGGACTTAGGGTGGAGCACTACAGTGCATTAGCGCCCTATCTACAATACCAGTGACGGTATCTTTATGGCCTTACCAAAGAAACGCAAGACTACGCAAGGCCTCGGGCTTATCGGTAGGAAGATGGGACTAGGAAAATATGCTTTTGTACTGGCCTTACCATGCCATGGACCGGTGAGTGAACTGTTCACCAACCAAGCCAACAAGGCCCAAAAGGGCCCTACCCTACGCTAACTAACTTGCTTTTGCAATCTCATTTACGGTTACTAGAATTGGAATAGGCCTATACAGTCAAACTCACTGTGGAAGGTGAAATTGCAAGAGCACTCGCCATTACACAAATGGAAACAACAACAACAAGTAAAATGCTGAAAGATTTAAATTCCAATTTTGATCTCACTGTGCTGTTTTCTACCCTGAAGGCCAAGTGTGCGTTTCAATGTCCGTTGACGCAAAATCATTCCGTTTCAAAAGGCTAATGCGTTTATATATTGAGAGATGCGTCATCGTTTACTGACAGAGTACGGTAGCTTCTTATATATTAGTCGGTTTGTTACAGTCTTGTGATTGATTCTTTTTAGCAAACGATAATCAACTAATCCTGAGACTGTGGTTGGCATGATTAGAGCTGCGGAGTGATTCACATCTTCATCTTACATCAATTTCAAAATGAGGATATTTATCCTGGACAAAGGAGACATCCCTGGACGGTATCTTTCCAACTTTCCTCTTCTTACATTTTGTCTACTTCTCAATTCACTTTTTCTTTTCACGACAATGTGCACATTTAGCACGTTTTCATGTGAGTTTGCAAGAAGCCTGCAATAGCCTGCTAATCTCAATCGACAGATGGCCAACAAGCTTATCTAAGAGCGTCTGGCCGCGGTCTACTAATTCCAAATACACTCGAATGGGCCGGGGGACACCTCTCCCAAAACCACCGTTCCTTCCAACCCGCTACCTCCCCCCCCCCCTACCAACCTCGCTCGGTGCCGGCTCGCACCTCACATTATCCACCTATCATTGCTTATATCATCATATAATAATAATCATCACAAAAACTACTTGTGACATCCGGGAAATCCTAGTATGATCCGAGCAGCAACCAGAGAAGACCATTGCTTGTAGGTTATCTTGTTGCTAGGCTTATGTCTATACGTCAGGGTGCCTATACACATGCCTATATTTACTGTAATAAGAATGAGAAAAAATTACCTGAATTTTGATTAAAATACACTTCAGAAGTCGGGAAAACTCATTTATCGCCATCTAAACCAAAATTTTCCCAGGGAGGACCCCGACCCCCGTTTTAGTTTTCCCTATGGATGCTGCGAAGCTGTTTTATATCTGTCTCTTATACACATCTAGATGTGTATAAGAGACAGGTCTTCAACAGTGGTGAGTTTAATGTTGACAAACCTTGTAATTTTAACTTGTTTTTGTTTGCCTTTGTATATTCTATGCTTATGAATTAAACCAACTAATTTGATTCTATGAATGCTGACACTCCAGGTAAGATAATATTCGTTCACTTGCACTCCTGGGTGGAGAGAGACAACCGTAGATAAAGTGCCTTGCCCAAGGACACAAGCGACTTGCACAGCCAGAGTTTCGAACTCCCGAGGGTGTTCGGTTGTGGCTTGGACTCCCCAAGGCTGGGAGTCCAAGCCACAACCGATGCGCCAACCACTTCTAGTAGTGTGTATACTCTGTTTAAAATGTATTTGGACACACAGCGTACCGCAGCTACTTTCAACCAATGTACTCCGCTAATCTGTCGTTTTGTACTTCATTGTTGTTTCTTCTTTAATAATTTTGTGTCGATTTTTTTTTGTATGTACATTGCTAACCTCTCTTTTTTGTACTTTATTGTTTTTTCTTTTATAATAATTTGTGTCGAATGTTTTTTATATGTGCCAAATTTTAATAAATAAATAAATAAAATAATTATACAATACATACAATACAGTACTTCAATAACAGTTTGCAGTAAAAGTAATAACATCTTGTAATACAATACTTTAATAATAATAATAATAATAATGACGACACTTTGAATCTTTTCTGAATAATTTTTTTTCTTTCAAAACGATTTCAATGTATTAAATAGAACACACTCTTAAATATAAATGTGTTAACTGGAATTTAAAAGCACGGTCAGTGCATGAGTTTGATGACTTTGTATAAAAGGAAAGGTGACCATTTAGGCCTACATGACTTAGTAAATAAACTCTTGGAAAAGCTGGGTAAACATACGTTTTACCTTAGAATATTGCTTAGTAAATGGTCATAACATACGGTACTAACACAGATCTATATAAAAAGATCGGTTGTTTGTGAAAATGTACCCGAAACTACAGATACTTGGCGACCAGAAAGCTTATGAATGCAAAGAAAAATCCGAGACTATTTCCCACTGCATTATTGCATAATTCCCCTGAGCAATAACACGTCTCTATGCCCGCAAAGGTGTAACACGATTCACCAGTGCTCATACCAGGACCGCACATACGCCCGACAAGGTCTCCAACAACCGTTTTCTGAAAGAAAAAAACAAAAATCCATTTTGAAAATTTCTAAAGGGTAGAATAACCACAACTCGCAGCGTCATCATATACTAATTTGAGTAATTTGTCGGACAAAATGTTTGCGCCTATTTACCGTCCAGACGCGTGCACAGCTCTGGAAGACCCGGGACACCCTTTGGGAAAGAAAGAAAAAAAGAAGGAAAGAAAATATTTCTATTTTCTCTATGATTCTACCAACCGAAACCTGGGCTAGGAGCGGCTCGAACCAGCGCCTGTAATTAGCAGCGCGTGATCACTACCTTACCACTCGGTCACTCGATTCGTCCCCTCCCCTAAACGATTCGTTTACTCACCAGACAAACATCATCTCCTTCACAAGTAGTCTCAGCAGCCTGCACGGGGTCAAAATCTCCATTTCCACAGCCGGTAGAAACCATACTGTTGCATTCATAGCACGTGAGACCACTTGCTGAGAAAAAAAAAATGCAAACATGTATGTAGACTATAAAATATTTAATATCTAGGTCAGAATATCCTATACAGCTTACCAGGCTCCAATTCGAGACCACCATCGGGACATGAACACTTGGGGTGGTGTTGGGGTTCCACATTAGTGGGGACTTGAATTGGAGGATCCACTGAACTTCTAAATATAACTACAAAAACGAGCACAGTTGGCACAAACAAACAAAAAATCTTCTTTAATCTCTACGCAACTTTGTACAAAAGCGTAGGTCGTGAACTCATACTCGTTATCACTGGTACAATATGTAGAGTACTGGTATTTAAACTATGTTTCTTCTATTTATTATTACTCTTTAAATTTGTAACATATATACTACTTGTCAAAAAGTTAATGGATTCCTATGAAGTTTGAACTTAATGTATTTATATCGTAAACAAATTTATTATTTTATAATAATAGTACTTTTATACAAATAATGAATGTTTATGAGTGCAATGGTAAGAATATTTTCATCAGTTGAAAGATTGACTGTTCCATTCGACGAGGTGGAGCCGCGTTGAGTGGTACAGTCAGTCTCTCAAAGAATCGGAACAAATTTTTTCCATTGCTAGAATAAAAACCATTAATTATTTGTTTTATAACACAATCTCATTTTAGCCAATCAAAAGATTGAAGTCATCGTATCCTAGGCGCCGTGCAATGGAGCAAAACGGATGTAGCGAAATTGCAAGGAATGAAGTAAAAATGCACGGTGGAACTTTTCATGATGAGTGACGAAATAGGGTTATTCAATGTCACGTGATATGAAATCCACCAATCAAATGACAAGAATCTATTTGGTTGCATTAAAATATACTTTTATTGACTTAACATGCTTGAATGGTTTAGCCAATATTAGGTGGTATATTGCACTATGGAGGAATTAGTTTATCCTCCATGATTGCATATTCCTTATAACACCAGATCATGCTAATACGTCAAGACGTAAAATCAGCCAGCTTACCAGACGCAAGAAAAGGGAGAATCATTAATATTGTCACAGCAAACTTCATTATTGCTTCTTTTATGTACTTATCTGAAATTTAAAATAAAAAACAATAGTAATGATTAACATGATTTACAGTATTAAACAGTATATTTACTACATTTCACCTCTCATTCTCAATCCAAACTTCAAAATTTAACGTAGTTGTATTAAAAATACATTGAATTAGTATTAATATATATATATATATATATATTAACCAGAACCTATAGAGTTAACTGAAACGACATGAAGCCTATAATCTAAAAATACATCTTATTTTATCATTGTTTATGTATTGTAAACTTTTGAAAATGAGCTACAGTTAATAAATATATTATTGTATATCGTCAATGATATTGGCCAATAACATTTGTTTTACACTCCACAATCACTCACCTGCATTAAATAAAGAACTTTATAAACTAAAGAAGTATCAAATTATGGAATAATATTGCATCAGAAAGTCACAAATATAACTTTAAAAGCACATTTTAATTATCTGCCTACTGTAGCTACTAGGTACTATTAGGTAGGCTTACATTTCTAGGACTGTCTGAACTTTACAGCACCAGTCACTTCTTTTTGTACGGTTGGCCTAGGTAGGCCTACACCGTAAGGGGACACTTATATGAAGGGAAGGGAAGGGACACCTTTTTGGCAGTGAATCAAGAAAAAACTATTTCTTTTTAATTAAGGACAGGTCTACGGCAACTCGGGCCTTTTCAGGAGACACTTTTGTGGTTCTGAAAAAGGGTCTTTAGGCTCAGCCTATATATAATGTGTGTGTATATATATATATATATATATA